CGTTAATGCGGACACCAAAGGGACATGATAAAGTGTCCAGATTATCTGGGTGTCCATATTAAGCAGGCTAATTTAAGAGAAAATATATTTCCTTTTTAGTTGTCGGGACAAAGAAAACTGTCTGTTAGAAGCAGGTGTCCGTACTAAGCGGGTGTCCGTGAGTGGGGTTTCGCTGTAATTCATTTTGTGGCAATTATTTCTAACTACTTATTAACTGGGAGCGAGGACTTTACAGGAAAATCTAAGACCGAGACCTTGACGTATTGACTGAGAGACAGCAAGGTCAATACAGCAAGGCCCGAGGTTTGAGATTCTCCCATAGAGACTGAATGTTCGAGGTTAATAAGTTGTTTATTATATGCTTTTTGCTTTGTTTTTTGCAAGCCTGTAATTGGCCTGTGGGCATTATGGGAGAACAATGCCCTAGAATTAGCCAGTCACAGTGTATGTTATATCGGCCACAAACACAAGCCATATAATACATGTAGAGGATATCACATGCCCATGCGTGGATACGAATTTTATCTTCAAGTGCTCAACTTGATATCTCACAAGGGAGTGCAGCGAACGGGTGAGATAGTGTTGAACATGAGAAAAAACAAGCAGGCATGTAATATTCTGTTTACTAAATAAACATACTAATGACGATGTTTTTGATGATTTTCTGAAGATTTCCGACCACTTTCTGAAGATTTCCGAAGATTTTCCAAAATTGTTCTGAAGGCCTGATGAACATTTTCAAACATTTTGCGAAGATTAATTACTGAAGATTGCTGAAGACGACCAAAGAAGATCCGAAGATGTTTTGATCATACATCAACAAATTTAAGTGTAGTTAACGGGACAAAGGAAAAATGTCATCAAAAAGGAATAATATCTTCACAGTGTGAAAGATAAAAATAGTATCTTCACTGTGTGCGATGAAGATATGACTTTTAGTAAAAGGAAAAATCCTGGTATTTCACTGGTGTTTATATAATAATAGAGTTTAAAGGATGCCTTATTTGTGGTATGCTCCCTGAAGTGATTTCAATCGGCTGAACAAGTGGAATGTCTACCTAATTTTGAGTAGACCTTGAATAATTTCAGTCTTGTGTGCACTGACATGCCAAATGCTATATTCATGGCCAGGTGTCCTGATCTTTCTTTATCTGGACTACACATAACTATTTCATTGCAATTACAGATTAGCAGGTTATAATTCCAAATTGTCATCAACCATAGTAGGTGTGGAAGTCAATTAGGGTACAGGAAGAAAGACCTATTGCGGCTGTATGCATGCATGTCACCTCCTTCCCATATGTAACTCAACACAAGCTAGTACATGTAATGTAGAAAAATAAGTAAGAACATGTGTTGCAGCACTCAAACAAGTCAGAATTATTTACTTAAAAAATAGTTGATTTCCTCTTAGATTTTATTTGTCTTAAAATGTGATAGTAGTTTTTTAAAAGACCATTTTCACTAGTGGATTGTTCCAGGGGTTTCATTAATGTTTTTAGCAGGTGGGCAACTGGTTTTCACACGCAGGCAAACCTTTTTGAACTGAACTTTTTTGTTATATATATAAAAAGACTTTCCTCTCGATGGTCAAACCAGGGGGCAAGATCATGCTCATAGTTGGTCAATTTGCCTGGTGCCCAGCCCTTAATTAAACCCCTGTTGTTTTAATGCACAGGAATCAGCTTACCGGTGATAAAATCTATCCGTGGAATTGCCAAAGTGCTATATTTCTGTATCAGGTCTCCCCAGTACGTGTTCATTTCTCTTCTCACAGTTTTCTTTTCACAGGTATGATTTCCTTCCACTGTGTATGTGTTATTAATGACTCCATTTTGATTAGCTTTATGATCATGAACAAAAAATGAGCCCCATTGATTTGATAACAGAACTTCTTCCTTGCTTGTTTCAATCTCTATGTCCTAGAAATGGAAAGAAGTAACACCAGATTGAGGGACACTTCATTCTGTAACACAGCAGCAAAAAGTGAAAAATATTTAAACAACTGGTGTAATTATGCCCCAGTGCTAATTTGCTTACGCAAAGAGGAAGAACAGATTACAGTAATTTGACATCTTTATTCTAATAAAACTTAGGTCCAATGGTCTCAATGGCCGACAGCAGAAGTCATTAAAACTCCACTTAGGTCATGCTTGGGAGGTCAGGTGGCCTCATGGTTATTACGCTTGTCTCCGGGATCGAGCAGTCCAGGTTCAAGCTCTGGCCAGGGGCATTGCTTTGTGTTCTTGGGCAAGACACTTTACTCTCACAGTGCCTCTCTCCACCCAGGCGTATGAATGGGTACCGGCAAACTTAATGGTGGGGGTAACCCTGCGATGGAATAGTGTCCAATCTTGTGGGGAGTAGAAATACCGGTACTCCTAGTCACTTCATGCTACAGAAACCGGATAAGCTCCTGCCTGGCTCGTATGCAGACGTATGCCATGCTTACAGTGAAAATGTTAAAAGAAACAGTCAGGTTTTTTGCACCAGCANACTCAATACCTTTGGATTATCCTGATTTGTCTGCTTTTGGAGAAATGAGGTGAAATCCCTGTGATTTCCTCTGCTATAAGTTGTATTTTCTTTAAGCTCCTGAACAGTGCAGACCTCCTTTTCACCATCTGTAGAAGAGAAATTTAAAGAGATAACTTTAACCAAAGACAGGTGGGATGCTTTTAAACAACAAAGCTGAGCACAACATACAGAGATCTTGGAAAGGTAAAAAAGCCACATGATAGATTGCGCAAAATCCTGGGTCGCACTTCTCGACTCTAGGATTTTGTGTGGCCATTTTTTCCTCAAGGTTATTTATGGTCATGCACGATGGACTAAGCAAAAGAGGGACTACTTGAAGTCTAGGCACATGAAGGTATATCCTACCAAGTAGGTGAAACTTTGGGAGATCAGGCTCGTCTGACTTGAAAAAGCCTGTAAATTAAAAGGTTACAATATTACACAACATGTAAAACAGATACTAAATAAATTATAATTATTATCATAATTATCCTGTTTGATCCCTTATCAGTTTACAGTCAAAGCTTATAACTTATACAATGTTCAGTCAGGGTGAAAAGGGGGCTACTGACAGCTGTAGGCTACAAATGGAAGTTAACAGGGTTACCACTCATTAGAACCCAAAAATTCCCTCTCACCTGACTTTTCACTGACCTCAAAACAATTTTCACTGACCTTGCATTAGGTGAATTACCAAATAAGCCAAATCCACTTTTGCATGTAGCTTCAGCTTCTTTTGCAGACCACCAATAGTGATAGTCTTCTCTCCATTTTCGATCTCTTTACATTTTTCACAGGATTTTGAATGGATGGCATTTGACTTGACCAACAAATCCATTTTGTTTTATGTCTCAGCNATCTGGATCAAAAACCAATATTTCATTATTACATGTATTACTAAAACAATTCAAAATTAGCTCATAAAATATAGTCAATACCAGTTTCAACTAAGTTATATAAATTATATAAGAATCACAAGGACAATCTCACCCGACTGCATAATTCATGAGAAGATTTGTGTAGTCAATAAATGAATTGGTGAGAAGAAACACTTTCTGTTTTCCTCCTTTTAAAGATTTTATCCACTCAATGATTTTCTTGCTACATGGTTTTACAAACTTGGATGTATTTTTTACCACATTGGAAAAGTAATATCCCTGTTGGGCTAGAAGGAGAGAAAGATTTATAAAAATAAACATCAAATAGAAATTGTCATCAATCAAATCACAAATTCTAATACCCAAAACACAACACATACAGTGTACTATAACCTGTGTTTTCACACACTAGTTTATGCACGAGTCTTTTAATTCCTTTTGAATCCAATACTTAGGTCTTTCATTGCATAATGTGCATTGCCTTCTTGGCAAATGATATTCTAGCCAGTAACCATTGCTGGTGCAAAGGGAAATTCTGAACATGAGCACACAAAGAGAGTGTTTTCTTTTGTGAGTTAATGCCCAAGTCACTAGTGGAGGGAAGGTGCCTATGAAGCCCAGGGGCTGCAACCGCAGTCACATCCCCAAGGTGCTAGAACACCCGACTGGCCTGCCCAACCTGCAACCAAGCCACCAGCCCCCCATGCCAAGCCCCCTACAGGCACCTGTCACACTCAAGCCAGATGGCATTGGTGGAAAAAAAAGCTAAAAAGAGGGGGGGATAGGGAGGGAACGCTGAGAACCACTAAACTATAATTCAATCCACAACGCCACACTAACAGAGCGATGAACACACTGCGAGCACATGGGACAACAACACATGTACTAACCAAGAATACCGCTGGACAATGTCAGCCCCCAGGGCTCTCACGACCATATGACTGTTGCAAATGCTACAGAACGCACCAAACGCTAAAACAAACGCTAATGGATGGCCAAGGCACTAACAAATGCCTACAAAAAACACTACTGACCAGACTCGCTCCTGGTCATAAACTATGTAAAATTTCATTGAACTATATCAAATGCTACAGAACGCACCAAACGTTAACCAAATGCTCACAGACAGCCAAAACGCTACTGACCAGACTAGCTCCTAGTCGTTAACTATGTTAAATTTCATTTAACTATATTAAACACGCACTCTGGTTAATATTTTTTTTCAAAGTTCAATATTGACCTACATGTACTCAGGAAATTGCTATTATGATAATCCACCGTGGGAAAAAAGATGGCAGCTGTACATTTTACCACATGCCTTGTGAACCTAACACAGACTAGAAGGCACAAAGAGAGCCAAATTTTTACAATATTTGTCCCTGTACTAAAGACATTGAGTAGCCTAGGTTTGAAGATTTTATAATGTTTCTGTACATTTTTATGAACGTTGTTACGGTTTTCATGCGCTAAGGACTATGGATAAATGTACCATTCGCCATCTTTTTTCCTACGGAGGATTACAATTCACTGATGGATTGAAAGAGCCAGGTAACTTAATAATAACTGTTATCAAAGTAGTACAAGTGTTACTATTATTAAATTCTGGAAACAAATGCAGAAATCAATATTGTAAACAAGTCAATGTACTAATACAACAAAATAACTTACCACCAAAGGAAGATGGATTAAAGATTTGTCTTAGTGTTAAAATTATATCAGGCCAAAAGTTATATTCCTCTGGCTTTCCACTCTGGCAAAGGAATTGAAGATTACAACAAAATCACATAATTTAACTTCTTCACAAGTATTTTTAAATACTTTTTACATTAAAATATATTACATTTTCTATCAACCAAGTTTCCAGGTAGATAACTGACTCAATGAGTTATTTTTGTACAGATAATAGTCTGATAGAAAGATTAATTTATTCAATATTTATTTGAAAAGTTTAATTGACAGGGCTCGACACTTACAGTAGCTAACTAGCCACAGACTAGTAGAAATTTAGTTTTCCCTAGCAGGTTTTCGATTTCAACTAGCCACTTTGGCTAGTCATCAAAATGAAATTGGCTGAACTAGTTTCTGTCTCCTTCAAGAGACACAAACACAAAATTTACACTTTTCTTGGAAACAAGGTCAGAATTTCATTGTGGACATACATGTATCACGGTACCAGACGTGTGCTGTTCAGCACATATGCATATTTAAGTTTGTCTACTTTTCACTGAGTGGTATGTAAACAGGGAACTGAATGTGTTAATTTTATTGAAAAGACAGCATTTTCTGAAAGCACACAAAAATGCTCTTTTTTGGTACGAAATGTTTTTCATGCCCAAAATAGTGCGGACCTGTAAAGGGTTAACATTTCATTTAGCGTAACAATACATGGCTGATTTGTTCTTGTATGCATACTTACAAACTTACCACTACAGAAATAATTAGATGAGAAAGATCTATTTCCTTCGAAATTTAAATCAGCCATTTTTAGTAGTCGTATTTCGCCAACGACAGTTTACAGTACTGTTCAGATAGTTGTTTTGCTTTAATTTGAAACATTTCTATGGTGCCTGTCTGTGAAGTCTCAACAGTTTTTACAGTGACGTCTTGGGGATCTCGATGTTTTTCCAAGGAAGTCTCAAAGAAAAACAGAGTCCTGAAAGTCTTTTCGGGACCTGGAACTTTCTTGAAACTAGTTTAAGTACAGTATAATTACCAACATTATATATTAAAGAGAGTTGCTTGAGTTGTCCTTTCAAGTCATGCTAGTAATTCTGCTGTTATTGGACCTACCTGAAATTTTCGCGACACGTTAATTTTGCGAATTTCGTGATTTAAAAAAATCGCGAAATTAAAGTGANAAGTAACATTGCCAAGGAAATAAATTTTGTGTCACTCAAAAATGTGAAGTTTAAAGTCATTCAAAATACAAAATTTTTGCAAAATCGCCAAATTTAAGTGTCGCGAAATAGGCGCACCACCAAATCACGAATTAAACATGTCATGAAAATTTCATATAATAAGGTAGCCAACCTCAACGCTTGGCTAGTAAAAAAAATGTTTTTGGCTGCCTTGTAACATCTAAGTAGTCACTAGCCACTTGGCTAGTAAGTTGAAAAGTTAGTGTCGAGCCCTGATTGAAAACAATTAAGCTGACAAGTTTTACCTAATAGTTTTAAAATAACCTCTATTTTTTTACCTTTTTATCTATTAGGTCCACAATACGTGCACAGATAACCACCAATGGAAGGTCAAAGTAATTCTCAAAAACTCTGAAAACGGAAGCTAAGGAAAAAGATAACAGATAAATGTTGTTGTTGACACGAAAACTCTTGATATGATCTTATATAAATTACAAGACAAATAAATAAAGGACAAAGGGATCAAGACGAACATGCCACCAAGTTTGACGTTGTCTGCTAATGGCTACAAAAGTTCCTAACCATGAAATCCTGGGTGCCCAGCACTTAGGCTTATATGTCTGAAAAAGTAGGATTTTCTAGTTGCTCAAAGGTAAAAGTTAGTCACCTGTGGCACCTGGCACTTCTAGAGTGCATCCCTACTAAGTCTATTTTTGTTTTGTTTTTGAAAGCCAGCAAATTCAAACTTTAGAACCTAGCTTGCTTAGGCTGTGCTGGGGAACATTGGCCCTTTGTCATTTTGGAGGGGGGTTGTTGCACTTGGTCCCTACTGTCACAACCTCAGGTCAATATTCCCCAGTACGGCCTTCCCACTCAGTTAGTAAGAGGTTAATATTCTCTTCAGCATAAGTATCACCCAACTAGTGGACGAATGCAAATCCTGCATTTTGATTGGCTACGCTACTAGGGGACTATTAGTAATAGTCCTCGAGTAGCGAAATTGGCGCAATCGAGCGTGACGCTTTCTTTNCGGGTCTATAGCCCATTCGGCTTCGCCTCATGGGCTATTGACCCGTAGCCCTTGCAGGCTGCAGGTCTAATTGTTAATTAGTACTCCATTTGAGTTTTAATATTACCATACTTGTACCAGCATGGTACCCTATCCATTCCCAAATTAATAATTGTAACAGAAAAGAAAATGTGTGGCTAAAAAAAATATTTACCATTTTATACAGTCATGTACAAGTATTCCAAATAAGTACCATCAGAGAAATGAATGATGAGATTTACTAAATTTTTTCAAGAACATGTAGTCTTGCACTGACATCGCTACTTAAATCATTGCCGAAATCATGCATGTGTCAAAGTGCTTCACTATCATCCACGGGAAATTAAATCTGACATACAGTGCTGAATGGGATTTTTTTCCAGGCTGTTAAAATCTGTCCATATGTGTTTTTCTCCATAACAAGCTGTAATTTCCTCCTTTGACATCTGTTTTGTGCCATGAGATGCTCTGAAATAAGATATTAAATTTTATACTGGTGAGACTCTATTGAAAATATGATAATAATTAACAACATTTGTCGCAACTGGAGGTTAGGTGCCCCGAGAAAACACACCCAACACATGCCCTGTAACCCCAGCCCTGTGATGTAAGACCACCTACAGGGCAGACACTGCCTGCAACCCAGCCACGAGCCCCCCACAACTGGAGAGAACCCAAGCACCAGTCACACTGAAACAAGAATTTCAGCGGAAAAGTAAAATAATAACCTGTAACTACTAACAAAAAGGAGGGTTGGGAGGGGAAAAAACGCAAAGAAAGTGTAAAAACACCTGCCGGGTACAATGCAACATATGAGGTAAACTGTAATTTGAGCATGATGTGATGCAAGCAGCCTGTCAATGAGCCGCAGAGAAGAACGCTGACTGTTGCTAAGACTGGGAACCCAGCAACTGAGACTGCTGACCATTCAGTGGTGGAATGGACCCAAAAAGGGCCACTAACCACAGAATACATACCAAGACACACCTGGAAGCCCCAACCACTGAAGGACGCTTTAAACGCTAACCACTGGCACCAACAAAATGTTATAACACTTACAAATGCCTATGAATGCTAACAAACACGAACAAAACACCTCTTCAATGCTCCTCGTAATCACGTAACTATGTTTAATCATATTTAACAATAATAATGATGATAATAATAATAATATTTATAATAATAATAATTATTATTATTATTATTTAGCACAACTTTCCATGAAATGATCAAGTGCTCTTTACATCATAAAAACTAAAACTAATTAATCCTAAAAGTTGCTAATTGACAATGGTTGCTAAAAATTACAAAAAATAGATGAAAATTCAATAAAGAAGCTAACCTGATATCAATACGTCTTTAAAAACTGCTTAAACTGATTAGCATGTATATTCAGTTCAATTCTACTGTAACTTCTAATGGCAGTCTGTTTCATATCCTCAGTGCTGTCACTGCAAATGCTCGATCACCTAAAGACTTTCTTGCTTTACCTCCAAATGCTAAGAACAATAGTCCATTGTTTGATCGCAGGCTGCAACCAGATTACATGTAAGTTCTAAGAGAATTTAGTATAAATCTACTAGCATCCTACCCCGAATGCGGTTCTCTGATTGGCTAGGCTACTCACTATCTATTCTGTGATAGATAGTGAGTAGTGTAGCAGTGTACCCTTGTTAACAAAATGACGGCCGCTTCTTGGCGTTTTCGAAGTGTCTGTGAAGAGGATTTAGATAAAGTTTTGAATGACTAGTAGATTTATACTAAAACAATTATATTGTTCACTCTCGATTTCTATGCACAATAGTTGACTCAGGCTGTGCCCTCGTCAACTATCACGTAATAAATCTCGAGCTCATAATCTAATTGCTTAATATAACAACACACTTGGGCTCAAGGGCAGACTCAAAGTTACATAATTTTTGCTTTTACCCACCTCAAAATAAAGCCATCTTTTCCAAGTTTTAATATATTTCCCTTCTTGACATCCAAAACTAAACCTCTAAGACTGACAAAAGTAAAAATAATTACCGTAACATGCTAAATGAAAGAAAATCAAAGTGCATATGACATGAAAAATAATTTCTGCTTATTTCAAAGGCCTTTCAAAATACAGAAGAATGGCATTTTTCTTTTTGAAATATTTTTTTTCGTTTTAGAGATATTGACGTTTTTCTATTATGCAAATTAGATCAGTAATGACGTCATATTGTTTGTAACTAAAAAGTGGTAAAATAGTGAAATAAACGATATCTCTGGAAATATTGAATCAGTGTTCTTGAAACTTGGCACCACAAACGTGCATCACAAAAGAAACAAAATTACACCCTTAGGGCTGTTGCTATAGCAACTCTTTTGGTTCCAGTCTCTTTCTGTCGAAAAACCAAATATCCCCATTTGCAACCTCTAAAGTGAGACAAAGGGTCCTACTTGGAACAGACATAGTTCCCGTATTGTCTCAACTCCCATCATTAGATTGGGTGGGGTAGATGGTTCTTGGTTTAAGACAAAAATGGGGAATTTCAGTTTTTATTAAGACAGCACCAGCAGCACAACTATTGTCATGGCAACAGAACTAAGGGGGTCTTTATTTTTCATGTCATATGCACTTTAACAGTGGTAAAAGACATGGACTAAATTAAAGGACCATTATACTGATGGTTGACGAATATCTCAGTCACTAAATTGTCAGTGATTCTCCTTGTACATGTATTGAAGATCCGAGACTTTGACTTAAGAATTTTAGACTCTGAGACAGAAGGAAACAGATGAAAATGAGACTTCTGACTGATTGCAAAAATTCCTGAGATTCTGAGGCTATGCTGATACACATTCGTCACCCTCCAACATCATCATCATCATCATCAACATCATCATTACCATCACCAACACCACAATCATGAATTTCACGGAGCCCAGGTGAATCTTTTGGAGATCTTCAAGGATTTTCACAAATATTCATAAAGATCTCGGAGTATCCTATAAGGATCTTAACAGGAGCTTTGAAAATTCTTGCCAAGTCCTCGAAAATCCTTCAGTTAATATTTTTGGCAGAATCTGTACAGACCTGTATGGTTTATCACTTTTCTGGTCAGGGTCTATGAAGATCTTGATCTTTCTTGCCAGGATGATTCTTTGAGAGTCTTCAAGGGTCTTCAAAGATTTTGCTCAAAGATTTTGTCAAGGTCTCTAAAGATCTCGAAGAATCTTTAAAAATACCTTAACAAAATCTTTTAAGGATCTTTCAAAGATATTTGAGTATCCTCTCTTACAGGGAGCAAGTTATATCTAAGCTTATGTAACTATCTAGAGCTCCTCTAGGTGTTTTCCTACATAGGAAAAGTGAACTACAAGGCATACCAAAAGTCCTTTAGATCATCAAAGTCGTCTTCTAGTAAGCTCGGATCATAGCCTTTTTCCTTGACTAACACTTGGGTGAAACAGCTGTAGATCAACTGTCAAGATCACAGAGAATTAGGATTGAGCTCATTTTAAAGCAGAGTGCAAAGAGGGTCCCCAATAGGTTTGGCGGGATGTGGGATTTGGCTTTTTTTCGCCATGATATTTCAGATTTGAGCTGAAAACAGGGGTGGGAAGCAGTAATTACAATTACGAGTGGGAGCAGGATTTCGTGTTTTTATGGTGTTGGGATGCGGGATTCGCAAGGGGAACAGAGTGAGATACAGGATTTCAATTCTTACGTGACCTCATAAATTGTTATTGACCAGCGCAAAAAACACAAGTTGGTAGAGAGGAACCTTTAGTGTGTATAGCTGTCTCAGGTTTCAAGTAATGACAGAGTGAATAGTAATGGCTCTGTACTCTGTCAGGTTCTGTTAAATGTATTATAAGACTGTATGAGCTAGCTCTTTGAGTCCTATTGCGATCATTTGTGTAGCCTGCCTAGCTTGGCGGTTACATTTTTTAAGCAATTTGAGCACGATAAGAAAGTGGCGAAGCCGCAATAATGAGCGCCAAAGCCACGTTAAAAAATTGCTTAAACTGCCAAGCTACACAGGCTATCATTTGTGTTGACCTCTGACATCAATGACATCTGTTCCTTTCCAACATCTTCGACTCTTGCAACTGTAATCTTGGCGCCCCCAATCCTTCCTAGTTTTCTCAGTCTTTTGACCTTTTCTAGAGCGCTTGTCTTGTTTTTGGCCAGGATGGCCACACTGAGTGGCGGTGATAGTGATTTACCCAATGATGTATGCGACATTATAAATTGCGTCACCATATATTACAAAAAGGATGCGTGAGCAGGAATGCCTTCATTGAGAAAGAAACGTTCTGAGGCCAGATTTCAAGGAAAGTGAAGACGCTGAAAGCTCTGAAAGAAACTGTCAAGTGTGTTTACGGGCCATTTCTTGAATATGGGAAATGAACAATCTTTTTCTTTCACTGATATGTGAATAAAAGAAAACAAAACACTAAACCGCTTACAAAAAGAAACGTTACAATCATTTGTGCCTACTTATATGCTACTCATTGAATTCTTTTTTGATCTTTAATGCGATATCTATTTTTAAAAAGTTTCTGAGTTAATAATTAAACTATTTATGTAACAAATTAATAATTAAAGCAGAAATGTCTTTGAAAAGTGGGCAGGATCAGGATTTCCAGGCAAAAAAGGACGGGATGGCGGGATTAACAGGAAAAAATGGACGGGAAAGCAGGATCTGAGAGCCCTATTGTGGAGTCTGTGCAAAAAGCACTTAGCCTCGTCACCTTCACATTGACACAAAACATTCAACTCAGAAAGAGGACCCAATGGACTGGACCCAATGCATTGCAGATAGTCTATCTGTGCTATATCAGTCATATAGGGAACATCTTTTGCCCGTACTTTCATTTTCTTAAAGTTAACTACTGCTACTACTACTACACGGTTGGTTCAGGCGGAGAAGTCAAACGGGCAAAACGAAAGTTTACAAGTTCAAACGAAAGGGGCTCTTTTGTTTGTTCTCGTAGATGCCTTTTGCCCATTTGATTTCCACTTTAATCAAAACTATAACAAAATTCTCGAACGTGATTGGCTATCAGCAGCCCGATTTGAGCATTAATTGGACAGTGTACGCGCTATGCTTGTAATTGGAC